GATAAACCCTAAAGGTATGCTTGCAAAGATTGTATCTTATATTAGGTTTATCGATATACATAAGAAACAAATCAGATTTTAAAAACTAGTTTTGTTTTTAGTTTAATTAAGTAGAAGGCTAAACCTATGTAAGCTGAAGAAGATCTCTACTAGTTCTTTTTCTCGATTAAGAGCATCGTTTTTTTTTTTTTTTCGTTTTTCTAGAGTTAGTAAGATATGAGTGATTTTCCTTATATAAGCACCGAAGTAAAAGCTACTTTTCTCTCTATTTTTCACAATAAATATCGTCTAGCTTGAAACTTTGTACCGACTAAGTCCACATCAGTGGTCTATGTGTATTTAGAGTTCCATATCTACATCAGTAACCTTAAAGCGACCGTATATATATGAAGCTGGTCCCAAATAATGAGGAAAGTAAGTTTAACCTTCTTAAAAAAGTTACAGACCTGTTCAAACTTGTGATTTGTGATGTTATTTTATTATTATTTTTAAAGTAATGTTTCCTGTAGACTGAAAAATGGATGTGAGGTTCCATCACTATAATCCTTCTCTTCATAAAGAACAATATAAATGTTCTCGAGGAAAATTTAAAAAACCTTACCTTGGTGGAGGGCTCTAGAAAAGACCATAATTGCAAAGAAACTCAACCGCATTCAATAAGCGGCGCTCATCAACTTGTGTGATGCACTAAGATCTATTAAATCTATGACACTTAACACTCTTTTCACACTTTACGCGTAGATATCGTCGCAAGGTGAACGGCTGTGAGAGTTGCTACCAAACTCAGAGAATGATTGAAAGAATTCTGAAAAGAACCAGTGTCTAAACACTCGTTAATCCTCATTCACTTTGCCTTAATATCGGATTATTTGGATCATGGAGTTGCCAAACCAAACTCTGACAGCTCTTGCACTACCCATATATCGGAAGCTGTTGGAGATGAGGCGCAGCGTGCTTCTTTACGGAAGGAGAGTTGGTCAAGAAATGCCAAATCTCGTTATCAGTAGCATCCATTATCTTCATAATAAGACTGGTGTGGGTGCCAGGCCACAGCGGCATCGTTGGAAATAGTAAAGCTGATAAGCTGGCAAAGAAAAGCACCCTAGAACCGCTTTCGGTAGAATGGCAGTGGGTCAGTGTTCCCGTATCCTTTTCTGTTCTACTACTAGAGTTCGCGGAAGCTTGACCAGTGCTGAGCTGCTTTCGGTACATGCGCTGTCACAAAAGCCTTTTGTCCAAAGATCGATCGCAAAGGATCTAGTCATCTGACCTACTCTTACCTTACTTAGTTCACTTGAGAATAACTTATGCTTACATTTTTAGTTTTAGAAAGCATATATTGATGTCATAGATATCCGTACATCCCTGAGTAATCATCCATGAAAACCACTTACCCATCAAATCATATATGTATGTTACTCGAAGCTAAGTTGAAAATATTATCTTGCAAAAATTAAATATTTCTCCTACAGATATTGATCTACTTTCTCAATTGTCGTTTTTTATGTTACATATTTACTTTACCGTTACTCAAATGGAGCCGACACAAACTAACCTCACTTCATGTTAATTACCTCCATTTCAACTAATGTGACAGCCCAAAGTTATTTGCAAAACCGTTGGAGCCCAATTAATTTATTTTCATGTATTTACATACATATACATATATATTTTTATGTTTGCATATTTACCGTTACAATTCATTTCAAAGCTCATACCTTTAACTATGCACCATGTAACTTTCTTATTTATATCACATGTAACAGTACTTGAAGTGAATAACGGCAATTCAAATTAAAGTGAATTTTATTTTTGCCCACTCGAATCATTTGCAGACATACAAATGCACACAGTGACCCACTAATTAACTGTAAAAAAGCCATTAAGCACGGCAAATTGCAAGCATTGAATTGAATATTGCTCATACGTCATGTAGAACCCGTATGCGGTGGGTCTCGTTTATGTGCGCATGCATGAATGCGCTCAAGTGGTGACTAGTTTATTGATACATATGTCAACGGATTCAATAGTTACCGCTGCAAATGACGTGATGTATGTATACGTACTATATATATTAAGGTAGATTAGGGTACGTTCTTTATTTCTCAGGCTGATTTTTTTTGCAAGCGCCCACTAAAGTTTCAGGTCCTTCTAATTTTTTTTTTTTTTTTTTCTAAAAACATTTCTTTGTAGTTCAAACAACTCAAAGGAATGACCAAATGTACTATAATATTTTCTTAAAGTACACCATGCCGTATGAGCAACACAAAATGTATGAAGACTCAGGATATTTGATGCATAACTTTAACTACGAATAACTTTTAAAAACCAGGGTCTATGGAAAAAATTATCAACACCTTTTTTGTAGACCGCTAAATTTTGTATTAGCATATAATTCATTTTACTTATTTAATACAAAATATTAAAAAGTCCCAAGCTATATATTTAGGCACTGCTTAAAGTGAAAATAAGATTGCAAAATTTTTTACTGCAAAAACTAAAACTTCAGGCATATGCCAAAAAAGTCAACTTGGGAAATAATTGGCACCCTAGCATAACATACACTTACAAGCTCATAGCTGCCTACACACACATATAACTGCATTTTATTATTATTATTACTATTCCACTTGCCGTCGATTTTTGACTACTAAACACACACATTCATATACATACTCTTATAAATATACATATATACATACATACACATATATAAGTGCATAAAGTCTCTCCCATCTGCCGTTGTCGGGTGGACGACACCACTTGTGTGCACACGAGTTGCAAGTTGCTAAATGTGCAGCAATTTCGGCAAAACTAAATGGCAATTAAAGTGTATATTTGTTTAGTTGCCGTCTAAAAACCAAAATGAAAACTGCAAATGGAAAACAGCAAATAGAAAATACAAAAATTAAAATAATTGAAAACGATTTTTCCAACGAGCCAAAACTAGCGCAATACTAAGACTCAGCTGCCGTTTTGTAAAGCGTCGGGTGAATGTGTTTTCATCAAAAACCAAAACTAACAGCAGTTTTTGACTGATAAAAATTTGTTTCCAAAAACAACAAGTCAAATGTATGTAAATGTAAAACAAGGAGTAACTCCAAATATGGAGTTTTGGATGCAAGGTTGAAAGTCGCCTTCGAGCGGGTTAGAAGTTAGTAGTGTTTAAAGTTAAAGTTAAAGTTAAAGTTATCTATATATAATAATCCCCTATAGCATTGCCGGTAGTATCCATATTTCTAGAAGCGATATTTCTATAAGTGATATTTTTATCACTTTTCAAACATAATGAATCTCTTAAAAGACCAAGAGTGAGATCGTGATAAATATGGAATTCTATAGAAAACGCTTTTATGTTTAGAAAAGTGATATACATATAGTAGGTAAAGCGGCTTAAAGTCAATACGACACTGCTCAGGTATTTATTTCTACTACCACGGTCCCAGCGTGATGACTGAAACTGTATGCTAGGTGGTATTTAAGGCTCGTAAAGACGAGGCAAGATTGAAGCACAAGACTCTTCAGCGATGTAAATGAACGCGTTTCGACTCCATCTGCTGTTCTTTTCATACGAAAAACTTCAAGCAGGAATAAAGAGTTCTACAATTTTCCATTCAGAACAAAATTTATGTCTCAGATATTTCCAAATCGCGTATCAATCCAACTAAGCCATTTAACTCCGGCAGTGTTTGCTTGAAGCAATGGATGCTAGATGAACACCACATTCTTGGAATACTACAAACAGGGCATACCACAAAGATACTTTGCCTACGGGTTGATGAAAGGAATACTAGAAAGCTGCTGCTTTCCACACATTCTTGGAATACTACAAACAGGGCATACCACAAAGTCACTTTGCCTAAGGGTTGATGAAAGGAATACTAGAAAGCTGCTGCTTTCGGGTAAGAAAGAGCTAAGTAATGTCGTAGAGGTCATCAAAGGACAGCAATATACCTCTAAGTTATCACCTTTGCAAATCTAATTAAGCGAAGTCGCAGAATGCAAAGATTGAGGCGAGATATCTTTTGCGGCATTCAAAGTTCCAACTTTAAAGACATTGAATAGCTATGAAGAATAACAATTAGGTATTTATGAACTGGAATGCGAAAATCCTCTGAATTACTTGTTTATACCAAAACCATCTTGCCGCTAATGTAGAGATTACGATTGGATACTGTGCCATAATCTCACTCGCAGGTCTGTTAAATATCTTGTGGGATGAAGTTGGCGAAAGCCATTTACAGGATGACGAGACGGAATAATTTAGGCCTTTTCTCCTCTCCAGTCTAGCTTTAGATCTTTCAGTACACACACATTTGATGAACCAAGCTAAACTGATTCTGAAGATCTGTGGATCCAATGAGTTTTGGATATCGCAAAGGACCAACGTTCAGCAAGCACGCTCCACAGACTTTGTACGGTATTTTCTTTTTAGTACTGATTGATAAAAATGACAATGCATCTTTTAGTGTCAGAGTTCTCATTTCAACGATATAACTCAGCTTCTGGGATAGCGATTTAACCCAGCTTTTGAAACACTCTCTCCAAATCCAAAAATCTACTACTTCCTATATTTTCTAATGAATAACGAGAACCGTATGATAGAAAATGATTACTATACTTATATATGAAATTTGAATTTTTTGAAAAATGGATTCATACATTAGATCATTAGAAAATTTCGATCAATAATCTTCTACCTTATCTCACAGGGTAACATCAACATGCAACATGCAGTTCACCATAAATTAGTTTGCTCCTCGAACAAAAATAACAACAACAGCGTCTGCTAAACTAAATTGTTCGATGAGATTCCAAAATGGAGTAAGCTAAAATACCAACGATTAATAAACAAAACAAAAAAAACAAAGAACAAAAAAAAAAGACAACAGTCCCAATGCACCACAAACACAAACAAACAAATTTACGCATGCATATGTGTATAGAAGTAATGTAATACCTAGTAACTATATATACTATGTGCGCTTGTTCCAACTTACCGCTGTGTTGATGGTCGCCCAGCTATCCAGATGGCAAACAATGATATCATAAAACTGGCAAAATCTGTTAGTAAGTGAGCGGCATCTGTTGCAATCGCCAAACTGTTCGATAAAATGCCACCTGTTTGTTTTTGTTTGGCAATCCAGTGTGAAACCAGGAAACGACAACAACAGCAAACGTGAAATTTGGGGCGTCACGCCACATCAGCAGCATAGTTGAAGAGACAGCCGCAGCGTAAAGGCGACGCATGGTTGGACAGATCAATCGATGGGACACATGAAAGAAATAAAAGGAAAAATAAAAAGTGAAAATAAATACAAAAATTTAAAGGGTGCTGCAAAAAGAATGATCGATCTATTAAAACTACTTAGTATGGGTGTTACGAGATATTACTTTGGACGAAGTATCCATGTGACACTACGAAAAAAATACAAATACAAACAGTTTCAGAAGTTCAATACGACCGCTTGAGGGTTTCAAGGATTAAAGTAATTAAAGGACTCTTTACTTTTAATGTGCGCTACTGCGAAAACTTCCAAATATCTACCGAATGCAATAGGGAGAATTCTGATGGCCCGAAATTTCTCATTTCCCAGAACTTGTGTATATTTAGATCGTCCCGCGAGACTAATAGTCATTATTCTTAAGAACTTCATTGAATAAGCCTAGATCTCGTCTTTTTAATATATGTACATCATTTTTTCCTCATTACTTAAGGATACTTACAAGGACAGGACTAATCCTCACGGATTCGAGAGGTGGAAATCTCGTACTGAGACCTCTGAGGTCACAATTCATAAAAGATTCCCATTGGGATCACTTCGGCTCCATTCCAACGACTATCTGAAATTGCTTTGTGTTCGCATTTACAATTATACTTGAGCTTAAACATTTCAGTAAGTACAGATCTGTATTGTTCCGTAAGGGTTCAGTAAACTAAACTCTAATTATAATTATCAACCAAGTTAGTGAAGTTATTGTACAAATGAATTCCGATGGAGAGTTCGCGTAGATATCAAGGTGGGAGCTTTCGATAATATGAGCTCTTGTGGGAGTCCATTTAATCTGGACTATCTCGAGGATGACTCCCTTATATATTTCTAAAACACAAATGCTGATTACTTTCTAGATATCTGTTTGACCTAGGTTATATAGATAGATATCGCACGTGAACCGCTGGACGAAGTCTTTTTTGAAGCCTTATAAGGGTATGCCACCTGTGTTCGAATTTATAAACTAACAAAAGCTTAAGAGCCAATATAAATATGCACAGGCGTTTAATTTCCTTTCCCGGCATTTCGGTGTGATGTCTGAAGCTCTGCGCTCTCAAGTTTTTAAGTATTGATCTCGCAAACGCCGAACATTCAAGAAGGAAGTATTGAGTTCTTTCCACCTCATCTTCCTCCATACAGTTTCTGCAAATGTTCCGATGGTGGCCCAGAGCTGGCCAAGCTTCCTCGAACTCTAGTAGTCGAACACAAGAGGATACGGAAGCACCGACCCGTTCCCATTCTACCGATAGTGGTTCTAGAGTGCCTTTCTCCGCCAGCTTATCAGCTTTACAACTTCCTGTCACTCTCTCCTCCAACCGACAACCAACAACTCCCTCGCCAGTGTATGGGTAAAAAGGAGCCGCTAGAATTCGGTTTGGCGACTCATTGATCCGGTAAGAAGTCAAAGTGTGTGAGACTATCCGAGCGACTTTCGCAGCCATACACCTTCCGACGATGTCTACGGGCATAAGTGCAAGAAGGCGTTAAGTGCCATGGTTGGAGTGGACCTTAATACACCACACATACTGATGAGCGCCACCCGTTGAACGCTGTCGAGTTACTTTGCAAGTGTGGTCTTTTCTAGAGCCCTCTATCACTCCATAGACTCCATAGAACATAACCTGACTATGGCGTCGTAGAGCCAGAGGATCACTTTCGGTGGGAGAACCCAGATTTTGCCAATGTTTCCTCTCCTCCATATTCGGCTTCCATGAAAGCTTCCTATTCAGAATGAGCCGTTGATACTTCACTATATTTGTTTCCTCAATAACCTTATATTAATAATATATTTCATCAAACCCTTCACATCAATTGTCAATCAGTCCCTTCTGACATACCCTGCAAGTATTTACCAAAACATCAAAGCTTTTAACCGAAAACACACAAACGAACAGTTTGATGTCACAGCTGCCAGGTTAACGAGACTACCTCGCTCTACTGCTATCCATCCATAAAGGTACTTGCTTGCTGCCCTGTCAATTGTCAGGCGGTCATTACGTTGATCAGCCATTTTGTTGACTATAGCAATTTTGTTGAATATAGACAACCGAGCATTTCACAAAATATCCTTTCTTTTTTTACCACAAGTTTTAGTTAACAAGTCACTTTGCTGCTTGGTTAGTTGCATCTTTAGTTACTGCAGTTACTTGAAATCTTTTTTTTTTTTTTTTTTTTTTTTTTTTTTTTTTTTTTTTTTTTTTTTTTTTTTTTTTTTTTTCATATACTTGTATTACATAGTTTTTGTTGTTTTCTATTTTCTCCAAAGTTATTGAATTTCCCGGATTCACGTCGTACATACTAGTCGGTTTTTAGTGCTACAACGAAAAGGTGGAGTTGGCAAAATTGTTGATAATGACGCCAGCCGAAATTGCTACTATTCGGACATTCTCACACAGTCCACGTCACCACATCCGCTTCGCTTGCTTGCCGAAAGTATGCCAAATTGCTTGCAGCTAAAAGCAGTTGCTGTGTACAGATATTTGACGTTTCATTCGACAAGCTACATGCAAAGGGTTGTAGTCGTCGGTTTAAGGAAATACTCGTACCTACAATATATTGATAACTTCGCCCTTTTTTCGAGCGTTGACAAGTAGCAAAACGAGCTGAGCTCATCACCATTAAGCAGGGCTGAGTTTGAGTAAATTAAATTGGTAAGAAGGTAATGGAGAATAGTGGGTTAAACAAGTAAGCGGCTGAATTGATAGCGAAGAATCTCCATCGCAACCAAACTAAAAAAAGTACACCGAAACTTGAGGCAACTGGAAGTAAGAAAAGCTTTATGTAAGCCTGCGATACGAACTAGCCAAAGGTTCTCTCAATAATGAAATCTCCTTATATAAATAGACGATAACGACTCTCCGAAAAATAAATTGTAAGGCAATCTAAAAGAAAAACAGGAGTGGCTTTTGGTAAAAAACATTAACGATTTGTGGTCGCCGTAATAGCGGCTGATCCAAGTAGATGCACTTTGCTCAATAGCCAGCCTTTGACAGATCACTCGTGAGTCGTGCCAAGCTGTCATGTCATCTTTGTTCAGAATTATTTGGAATTTCATCATGGAAGACTTAGGTCTGACCACCGTTTACAAGTTCTTTAAATTTACGACTGTGGGGAGTTGATTCCACGGCTGTGGTGCATTTTACGTCGAGATCTTAAATTAAAAACGTACAAAATACGGCCTGTGCAAGAACTGAAGCATCTCGACCTTGCCCAGCGACATTCACTCTATGATCTCTTGAAAGGTTTCGACAAGATTCCACATTTTTGAGCCAAATTTTGTTCGGCCTCCTCAGGCCTCCCATGTAAAAAACCAAAATTGCCGCATTTGGGATGAATACAAGCCCGAAGAGATTCAAGAGCTGTCATTTCATCCATAAAAAAGCGATTTGGTGTGGTTATGGGCAGGTGGAATCATTATTCCATATTTCTTCCATAATGATGCCGGTGAGAACGTAATCGTCAATGGCGACCGTTTTTGCGCCAGGATAAGCGATTATATGATGTCTGAAATTTAAGCTCGTGATCTCGGTAACATTTAGTCTTTACAAGACGACGCCCCTTTGCACTTATCACATCAAACAATGGATTTATTGAGAGAACACTTCGGTGAGCAGATAATTTCACATTTTGGTCCTGTGGATTGGCCACCAAGATCGTGTAATATCACACCCTTAGACTTTTTCCTGTAACGATACGTGAAGTTCAAAGTCTATGCGGACAATCCTGCTTCGATTTAGGTTTTGGAGCAAAACATCACGCATGTCATTCTCCAGTTACCAGCCGAAAAGCTCGAACGAGTTATCGAAACTGTGGTCATTTCAAAAGCCATCAAATTAATAAAAGCTTAAGAGTCCGTCTTCCTCAATTTAAACTCATTAACCTAGATAAGCGGTGTCTACGCCAATAAAGAAGAAGAGTTTAGACACACATTAAACTCCTGGATACAGTTTTTCTAGCTATGGAGGTTATCACAAGCTTTTAACTGTCTTCAAATTGTTGATTGATTTTATGACCTGTCGAAACTGCTTTTATTAGAGTCCTATGAAACCTACCTTTATCATCAATAATCCCTTTCGTAATATGAATTTCGATGATATGAATGAATTCGGACAATATGTTGTTCAGTTTATTCGGATAGTTGCCCAACTCCAATACGGTACGGCGACTGCTTTCTTTTTCGAGAAATTGAGCTACAGAAATGAGATTTTGAAAGGTTTCTTGGAAATATTTCAAGAGCCTTCAACAACTACCCATCTGTTAATGGTAGACTATATGGAACATCCCTAGATTCATATAAGGTCATACCAAATTATGGTTACTTTTTCAAAGATACATTATATCCAATATTATTCAATAATATTCAATAATCGAGCACGACTGCCAAGTAAGTGCTATTCCGTTTGCTTAGGTACTAATTATGAACTAAGCATTGTACAAAAGACGGTGTGGAACCAATGGAAAATCAGTAACGTATGAATATGGCAAGTGAAATCAAGCAAAGATTGAAGTTAAGAAAAGTTTCGTTATTGGTGAAATTGGCATTATTTGATGAAAACTTAAATTCCGATAAAAAAAAAGTCGGCCAACATCGGGTTATAATGCTTGATATTGCTGGTAATGGTATTTTTCGAAAAAAAGATGCCGCCTTAACACACAAATTTTTTTACTGTTAAATGTTCATGCAATATTGAATGTCTGCTGGTCCCACTAATGCCCATAGTTGTCTCTTTCTCACGATAGGTGACATGACGATTTTGCAATATCACTTTACACACAGCATCAATAGTTTCTGTAACAACAACTGATTTTGAACCTACACGAAATTCATCCAAAATTTCAGACTTAACG